GGTGGAGGCCGGAACGAGAGCGGCGTGCAGTGTAGACCTGGGAGAAATGATTGGAAACTGACTGGGCAGAAGCCTCAGAAGGTGCTGTTTCCTTTAGAGCTGATACCTCACTTTGTTTTCATTTTCTTTTAATTTTCAAGAGATGTCTAAAGACCTCTGCTTGCGATGGGCTGTATTGTGAGGGGATGGACTGTGCTGTTTGGGGCTGGGGAACACTTGGCATCAAGACAGCAGGAATTTGATTGAATCGGGTTAGAATGGGCTGGGGTGTTTGTTCTCAGGCAGATGAGCTGGGGCAGATGGGTTGGGCTTTGTCGGACTGAGTTGTCCACTTACTCATTGGAGCCCCATCTCGTGAGGCTCAGGGTTGTGGGCCAGGTCCCCATTTGGGGGTGTGTAAGAGGCAATCTATCAATTGCACACTATTGTTTTTCTCCCTTTCTTTCTCTCTCTCAAAATAAAAATAAAATCTTAAGCACTCATTGCAATATGGTGGAATTTATTGAGTCGAGATGCAACTGCTGGGTTGGCATGGGCCAAAGTTAATCGAGTTGTGTTTATGTATTGTCAGTGTTTTTTTTTCCTAGGCTTGGAGGACTCAACTTGTCTGGCTTGAATAGAATTACGGTGGCTGACTTGGAACAAGTTGGAACAGACTGGACTGTATTAGGGTAGCACTGGTTGGCTAAGATGGGTCATTCGAGAAATTTCTACAACTTGCTGAGAGTGTCTGGTGAATCTCTTTCGGGATATGTTTGTGCAGCATCCCAAAGAGACGAGATGAGGGGCAAGGCCCCTGAAACTGCAGTGGTGTCAGGGACTGTGGCACAGCCCGGTGAAGCCATGGTGTAGGTGGTGCCGATGTGGGCCCCGTCTGCCCCCCTGTCTGGCCTCTGTCCCTTCCTCTGGGCCTCTGTCCCCCCATCCGTGCAATGAAGACCCTGAGCTCCCTTCCAGGTCACAGAGCGCTCCTGTGCATTGTTCCCTGGGACCCTTACCCCCTTCCCAGGGAGCTGATGGAGGGGGCCGAGTCTCAGAGGATGAGATGCCACACAGGTTGGAGGGGGGACCTGTCATCTGCAGAGGCCTCCAGGTGGGGCTCCTCACTGGGGCTTGGGGCTGGGGCTGGGCAAGAATTCCAACTTGCCTGCCAGTGCACATAGTGATGTCCACTTGCAACGCGGTGTGCGTTTGTTCCCCTTTGCCCTTCGTGTGGACACCACCTAGAGGCCCTGGCTATGATGGTGCCATCCTGAGGTCCACAGACAGGCATGGAGTGGGGGCAGGGGAGACTGTGGTCCTTGATGGAGAGGAGGATGGAAGGAGGGTAGTGAGCTGGGCTCGTCTTTGTGACCCGACCCCCAAGCTAGAAGAGGCATAAATCAGCCCTGGCCTGCGGGCCTCAGCAGGGCAGGTGGACTGGTGGTCAGGAGACCTTGATGTGAGCCCCTCTTTGTGTCGTGTAGGATGCTCCACCCCATCTCTGCAAACCTAGGCTCCCACTTCCATAGGATGGAGACGCTGGTATGTTCAAGTCAGGGCTGTTGCTGCAGTGCGAGGGAGGGACGGAGCTCGGGCACCATGGCCTCTCCTCTCTGCCGGGAGTCCGGGCACTGAGCCCCTCCGCCTGAGCACAACTGCTGTCTAGCGTCCATCCCCAGGTGACCTTCTGTAACCCCTTCCACCCTGGGCAGGTCGGCCGACCTGTGACCCTAAGGTGTTGACAGAATCTCTGACCTCTGGGAAGGAGCAGGTCACTTTACCGAGTTTGTGCAAATAGATAAAGAACAAAGTGGCCCATAAATCAGGGCAACAGGAAAAACAAATAATTCTTTCCCCCCTTGGGAAAGGAGCAGCAGGGATGTAGGTGGGGGGAGGGGGAAGCGGTCCAGGCACGCTCCCTCGGAGGGCTCCCCCTGGCAGGCAGCACCTTGCCTGCCTGGGTGTTGGAGGGAGGCAGCCCCGGAGAGAGGAAGGTGTGGGCACCGGCCGGGAAGCCATTCTCACGCTGGCAGGGCCCATCTCCTAACAGCGTCACTAGACCTCCTGGTGTCTTCTGGGCCCCTAGCCCCTGGCAGCTGAGCGGCCTGGGCTTTAGGGATCGAGGCTCTCTTTTCTCTGTGGCCGTTGCTCGTCACCCCACGTCACCATGGAAAGCAGCAAAGGGGGTCTCACGGGGCCTCACTCCGAATGTCCCAACCTGAGCAACCTGCTCTTGGGGAACACACACCAGCCCTTCCCTCTGCCCTGAGTCTCAGTGTCCCCATCTGCAGAGGGGGAGGCTGATTCCTGGCCTAGTGCTGCTCCAGCACAGGGTGCGAGTGACCCTGGGGCTGGAGGGCTCAGTGTCCCGGGAAGGACGCTGGCCCTGGAGCGGGCCTCCCAGTTCAAACCCTGGCACATGGCAGTGAACCACGCAGCCCCGTCCTATTTCCGGTTGTTGTTGTTGGTGGTGGTATTATAGGTGTTGTAGGTGTTGTTTGTATCCCTGGGAGCCCGGGACAGATCTTGGCAGGCAGCAGACACTTGATACATTTTGGGGTTTTTGTATGAACAAATACGTGGATGAAGCTATGGCTCTTGGGTCTAGATAAGAGCAAAGAAAAGGCCCAAAGGATTGCTTTGCAAGATGAGGATGAAAAATAAAAGTTTATGGCTGCCCCGTGCTGACTGATGAGGTGTGCAAGCTCCCGGGCGAAGCAGGAAGCCAGGGCGGACACTCAGACTGGAAAAAGACAGGCAGGGAAAGTGTAGCAAGACTTCAAAGCGCCAACAGCTTCTCTGGGGCTGTGTCGAAACACGTGAGGCCCAGAAGAGAGGCAATTAATCAGGTAATTCCAGCGCCCTTCCACCCAATGGCCTCAATTATCTGGCTATTTGAAAACGAGCCGTTTTATGGGTAATGAGTGTTAATAGGCTATTGTCCGGAAACAGTCTCTCCTCCAGCTTGCTCTTCGGTGGTCAAGAGGCCCCGGGGAAGCACAGAAGGCTCGGCTCACCTCTGGGGGACTCCCGCTCTGCTCTGCGTCTGTGGTAGGGGGTAATAAAGAACAGGATTCCCGCCGTGCTCACATTGGTGGGTCACATTCCTGTCCCTCCCCTCCAGACTCAAGCCTGTCCCTCTACTACCTTCCTTCCAGCTCCCCTTGACCCCGTCTCTCCAGTTCTGCAAACTCTCTCCGGGGGCAACCAGAGAACTTGAGAAGAAGTGCATTCTACCCTCCCCGGTGCTCTCCCGGAGCAGAGCTTGCCCTCCTGGGGAAAAATTACTAAGCTGGAAAAAAGAATGGAGAAGGAGTGGGAGGAAAACAGGGGACCCCCATCTCTTGAGCCCCTATTCTATGTCGAGTATTGTGCTGGGCCCCTTAAAGGCGCTTCTTCCTTTAATCCTCACGAAGGCCCTACCTGAGCTGATATTAGCACCTTCCTGTGGCACAGCCCACAGGCTCCTCAGCAAACCCTGAGCACCTACTGTTTGCCAGGTCCGTCTCAAGTCCGTGCAAGGGTCTCTGGCCTCAGTCTTCTCCCCCATGAGGTGGAGGTTGTATGTCCACCGCCTCCCTCAGACCTTCCTCAGAGAGGGGCTGGGGGCTGCAGAGAACAGTCTACTGACTAAGGAGGACACCTGGGCTGAAAGGCGTAGTCGTGACAGCCGTCCCTCAGGTATAACAAGTGAGGACTTGATACTTTTCCAAAGAGCAACCTGTGCCTCGTTTCCTTCGGCCTCACAGGAGCCCCGCAGTTTGGACAAGGCAGTATGGGGGACGAGTCTGGGAAGCGAAGAGACGTTTCTTCATCACCCGGCACGACAGGGACGGGGTTGGTGCTGGGCCCGGGTCTCCTGACTGTCCACCAGGCCCTGTTGCAGGGCGCTGATTGCAAACCGTCCCACTTAGCAGTCCCTGGGGAATGGAGTCGTGTTTTTGCTTCATATTGTCCCCTGACCTTTGTCCCCGACCTTTTGTCCCAATCCTCTTAGCTTTGACGGCACAAAGCAACAGCCACGGACCTTGAAAGCCAGGGCTGGCCTCTAATCTGGGGGCTGGGAAGATGGGGGGCCCTCTCTGGGCCTTGGACCCCACCTATGAAGTGAAAGGACGGGCACTGGGCTGCCTCAGCTCGTCACCCCAACTGCCCGCTCACGTGTGTCTGGAGGCGAGAGGAGCTTGCATTAAATTATAAAGTGTCCAGCGTCCTGCTGGGCCCGCCAAACCCAGCGGCCGGTGGGCATGCTTCCTGAGTGTGAGGAGGAGGCCACAGGTGTCCGGCTGGGTACAGAGCAGCCAGTGAGGCCGGAGCGTGGACATGGCAGTGGCAGCATAATGGGACTGACGGTGATGGTGGCAGCCAGCGTTTAAGGCGCGTCCTCAGGCACGAGCTCCACTCCCCAGGGCGCCTGGGCCACTCTCTGCAGCAGCCACCACAGTCTCCCAGGCCCTCTGTCTGGAGCCACTAGGGTGGGTACCAGGGTCCTGGGACAGCCAGCTCTGCGCGGGTGCCCCCCCGCAGGCTGAGCCGCTTCCTGCACTCTCACTTGCCTGCCTGTATACATTATGCCTTCCATGTTTCTCTTTCAAATCCTCTGCATTAATTCCTCCGGCCCAGTTCCCCTCTTGCTTTGGAAATCTGGTTCTGAATGAGCCTGGGTCCATTGCATGCCTGTAACCCTCATGTCCCTTCTGGGTGCGTGGCCTCCCGGGTGCCCACGATCCTAGTAAGAGAAAGGCCACTGGCTCATTTGGCTGTAAGACTAAAGAGCGGGGAGGGACTTGAAACTTTTCTCCAGATGAAACAAGTGCAAGCGCTTCGCCCACATACAATTGCCCCTTGAGTCTTTGAGCACAGCACCCACCTGTTTCGTGGGGGAGCACGTGGACCCTGCCTTTCTGGGTGTTGGCTCTGCACCGTATGCTTTGCTCTCTTGGCCATTGCGGGGCCCTCTGCCCCCTCCCTGCAGAATGGCTGGGGGGCCGTGGGGGGCCGTGGGGGGCCAAGGGGCTCCTGGCAGCCAGCCACAGTGTTGCCCACCCCCTTGGCCAATGATTTAGTTCTCTGACCAGAGTAAACAGTACGGGGCCGGGGGCAGCCCAGGCCCCTTCGGTCAACCCTCCCACGAGAAAGCTGACCACGAGTCATGTGGGGGCGGGCAGAGAGGAAATGGGGAGCTGTGGCTCGCTCGCTCCACTTACTGCAACCTGTTGATCTACCAGCCTTTTCTTTTTTTTCTGGTAACGTATACATAATATACCTAACACAAAATTTACCATGTCAACTATTTTTTTTTTAAGTGTATAAGGCAGTGGCCTTAATCACACTCTTGTGCAACCATCACCACCAGCCGCCTCCGGCACTTTTTTATCGCCCTAAACTCTGCCCCTGTTCAATGATAACACCCATTCCCCGCCCCTTGTTGGGTCTATTCTACTTCCTGGCTCTGTCAAATGGACTGTTCTAGGTGCCTCGTGTACGTGAAAACCGACCAGATTTGTCCCGGCTTAACGAAGGCCCCACATAATGTCTTGGAGGTTTAGCCATGTTATAGTGCCTGTCAGACTCTCATTCCTTCTCAAGGTTGAATGTCCCATGGTATGAATCTACCACATTTTGTTTATTACCAACACATTTTACCACCCACTATATGTCTGACTCCATTCTAGGCACTTAGGCATGTGGGTCATGGAACTAATAAGACTGACAACATTTTCATTCAAGCAGAAAGGCTAAACATTTGTGTAATAATTGGTGAGTAAATCAATGTGTTACCCAATGGTGGTGGCTATTCGGTTAGTAGAAGGAAACATTTTCCAAGGACTGATCTGATTGGACCTTTGGTAAGTGACCTGGAATATACAGAGTTTTCTGTGTGTCTACTGCTTGTCCCTTGTCAATTGTTCTTTCTTATATTTATGTATCTGAGCAGGCAGAGAAAATGGCGAGTTAACTGTGATGTGTCAATTTCCCCTCTATTTTCAAATATTGCCTATTTTGTACCAGGTTGTTAATGCCTCAGTTTCATTATTAATTCTTCTTATTATCTGCTATTTAATTTTTTTCTCCCTACTAGGTCAAGTGTTGTTTGGAATGTGAGACAGTATAAAAATATTGCTTGTCTGTTAGTCTGTCAACTTGATTTTCTTTTGTGTGGCATTACTGCCAAATGTCACTCAACCCTTCCTCACCTGCATCCCCGCCCTTCACTGTCCACTTGGTTTCTCTGGATCAACCTCTGCCACAGGTGCCCCCTCCCCTCCAGTCTGCCAAGTGGCCAATTAGAGCAGGGCATGAGTTCTCCCGCTCTTTCCCATTCCTTGGTTGCTTGTTCTTCTTTCCACTGGTGCCATGTTGATATCTTAGACTAGTAGAGACTTAAACTCTTAAGTGAGCCTTTGTGATATTTATTGCTATTGAAGTAGTTTATATTTATTGATTTAGAATGAAAATAATCTTTCAAAGAGTCTCATCACCCACGGGAGGATGCCTTGCTGTGAGCGCGGTGTAAAAGGCTGGTCCTCTCCCCGGGGACATTCCAGCTGCAATCCGCTGATGGCCGCAGCCCCCGCTGTGCACCAGCCGCTGCCCCTCTCTCCTCCTGTGTCCGATGGCTCCCACGACCTAGACGTTTAAACAGGCCATGCATTTCTCCACTGTGGCACCTCTGAAGCTTTGTGTCACGTGTTTGTTTCAGTGTCTGCCTCTCCCCTTGATCTGAGCTCTTCCAGAGCGGGGACCGGTGCACGACAGTGAATTAGTCACAGCACCATTACTCAGGCGGCTGATGGTGACCTGCAAAGACAAACATCTCAAAGCTAACTGTAAAATGAAGGTGCGAGGAAAATGCTTTGGAAGTAGAAATAATCAATTGTACAGAGAAGGCTGAGTGCCCAGGGGAGTTCTCAGCTAGAACTTGAAAAATGAAAGATTTCTAGCTGGAGGTGGGGTGGGGTGGGCACTGCAGGCAGTGGGAACAGCCGGATGGCCAGAAAGCGGAGAACGCATTCAGAATAGGTCACTTTAACCGGTGAGGCGGAGGGAGTGACTTGTGAACGGAGACAAGCCTGGGATTCCCAGCTCAGGCGGGCGGTGTTTGTCCTGGGGTAATGAGGAGCCATTGAGAGCAATGGAGAAGGGTGGTCATCACCTCCATGTGCCTTGGGAAGATTGATCATCATAGTGGGCAGATGGCTTTTAGGGTGGCCATACTGCAAGGGGGAGCCCGAGGCTGAGGCTCTTGTGCCAGCACCCATGAGACATGGGAGGAGGCCGTAACCACGGGGACTTCCTGAACGTGTTGGTGGGTGGACAGTGGGGGCGGAAGCACCCCTCCAGCACCGGGTGGGGGCCAGGCAGAAAGTCGCTCTGCCAGCCCAGTGTTTATTGTTCTCTGTCACAGTCTATTTTCTGTTACATAATGCATCAGGCTGACCCCCGCCCCACAGGCTGTGTCCCAGAGGCCTCTGTGGGCTCAACCCTCAGGGCTGTCATGGGGCGGCTCTACAGACAGGCGCCTGACCAGCTCCTCCTTGGTGCCCCCAGGCAGCAGGCTCAGCAGGGCCCCTGAGCTCCCACCCAGTTCTGTCAGAGGAAGCACCATGGTCGGCGAATCAAGGCACATCAGAATGTGATAACCGCACAATCCCCCTCCAGTCACAGGCCTTGGGACAACCTGCTGCCACCTGCTCGGCTGACTTATCTTACCTGCAAGAGGACGAGATTCTGGGAGTAGATAACGTACTGGAAGGAGATGGCACAACACTGAAGAAAATAAAAAAGAAACAGTACCATTCTGCCTCCAAATGGACTGTCTCCTCCAGTCCTCAGGTTGCCATGGCCTCTTCGACCCCTTCCATCTTTAAGGGCTCCTGCCCAGGGCTCTGGGCATCTCATAAATGAGAAAAGGCTCAAGAGGAGTCAGAGTTCCACCCAAGTCCAGCCTAGAGTCTGGGCAGGTCCGGGGAGTGAGGCCCCGGTCTGTAGTCGGGACACAGCAGAGCTCTTGGAGGGGCGTGTGGGCATGTGTGTGTGCGTGTGTCCGGGTTGGGAGGTGGAACAGCTGTACCTTGAGCTGGTGCATGTTTGGGTTCACCTGGTGGGGCCCTGTCTGCCTGGCATGTAGACTCTGAGGGTGGGCACAGTACCCGGTGGTTAGAGGGAACAGCTCCTCTCTGACTCACAGGTACAGGGAGGAGAAACCTCAGGGTGGGCCCTCCATCCCCCAGACAGCGATGCCCCCCAGGCACTGTCGGGCATTGACCTTTCAAAGCCAGGATAAGAACCTGTTCCTGTGCCTCCTGAGGGAGTCATAGGCTCCCCCAGGAAGGCTCTGGCAGAGCCCCAGGTGCCCTGGAATGCACCCACCCATCGTGTACCTGGCTAACCTGTACACCCATTGCCCTCCATGCTGCTTCTAGGTTCTGGGGTGCAGCAGAGAAGACAGCAGAGGACCCCCATCCCTCCAGAGCTGCCATCACGCAGTGAGATAAACGACACCTCGCACGGGAAGGTGGCAACTTACAAGTGTTGCCCAATAGGCTAAGTTGTGGCGTCCCCATCATCATACGTGGAAGGTAAGTGATTTAGCCCAAGTTCAAGGAGCTAATAAGTGGCAAAGCAGATAATGTCATCCAGAGTCCCTCCTCAGTGCCCTGACTCTCAAGGAGTTGTGACAAGCAAGTAAAATCAAGTAAAAGCACTTTGCAAACTAAAATGCACTAAACAAGACCTGGCTCTTATCACAAATAGGAGAGAAATCCCGTGTGAGCTAGACCGGAGGTGAACTGAAGGTGAGAACAAGCCCCCCTGGGTGTGTTAGGCTTTGGTGGTGGTGGCGGTGGTCGGGGGGAGGGGGCAATGTCCTGTGCGTCCCCCCAGGTGCCTGTCTCCTGTTGTCCTTCCTCTAATCTTTTGGCATGTGGCAAAAATGTTTGTTTTGGAAGCTGAAGGGCCAAACTTGTACCAGTTGAGACGAGTCCACCTCTGGACAAAAGGCAGGGCACTCAGACCCCTCAGCACAAGGAATTCGTCCTGTCGCCTCTGTGTACCATCCATAACCCTAAAAGACTGCCCTGTCATCTTATCTGGCAAGTGGGTTTTAGCAGTCCCTTCATTAAGCCCGGGGAACAAAGGCGGCTGGGTGAGGGTCTCTGAACGTCCAAACACCCTGTCACCCAGAGTGTGAGGCTGAGGCTGCCCCCAGGAGGGCCGGACGCTGTTTACAGATGGGAGGAGATAAATGCACGGGAAGGTCGCAGAGTCCTGTCTTCCTGCTGCCCCCCAGCCAGCCTCCGGGGGTGCAGGGGGTGGGGACTGGGTGGCTTCCTGACCACCCTGACTCTCCAGCTGGCCTGGGGCCTTTCTAGGCCCCTGACAGAGGAATGCAAGGCGCTCAGTCTTCACACCCTTCGAGGGAGGGGGGGGTGTGATACAGAGGCAGGGGGCCGCAGAAACCAAGACTTGGATTTCTTGGTGCGCCCCTCATGCTGAGAGCAGTGGAAAGCAGGAATTAAGCAATGAGATGACAGTTTGTGCCCCTGCCCCCCACACCCTGCCCCCCTGTGAGCAGGAACATTCTGAGAAATCTCTGGTTCATACTCCATTCAGCCAACGCCCCTCCTCCTGAGACAGAAAGAAATCCCTTTTAGATCGGCAGGACTAGGGGTTTCCAGCAGGCCTCTGGGGGGCTGCCCGTGATGGGAAGCCCCTTCCTCCGTGGAGGAAGGGCGGGTGTTCCTGAGGAGGGCAGCTTGTCCGATAAAGCCCCCAGGGCTGAGCTATGATCTCCCCTGCATAACAACAGGTCACACGCTTACCTTGGCTTTGTGCTCTGAGTTACTCCCAGAGGTGGAGGGAAACTTTCTTACGGATGAATTTTTATTGTCCGCACTCCCAGCACAATTACTCCAACCAACATCATTGTTAGTGTAACACCTAGCACTGGAAGAGTACCGGTACTTCCTACTTCTCAAAGTGTGGATGTTTACTTGAGTGTCCTAACAGGCCTTTGAAATGAGCATGAATTAACCTCATGTTTTCTGGGGAGCAAACAAAGGCATGGGAGACAAAGCCACCGGCACAGGCCAGTAAGAAGTGGGACCAGACCCCAAGTGCCCTCACTTCCAGTCCACGACAGTCCGCCTCAGGGTAGCTCTCAGCATCTCTACACATTCACCGAGGCCCGACTATACTCAGGGCTGAAGGAGAGAGATGGGCTGGAAGGTGATGGGTGGGTGTCATTCCAGGACTCCGGTTCAGCATTCAGCAGTGCGCCTGCCCGTAGAAGCTGGGAACGCTTGCTTAGAGAAGCCGTGCGGTCCCTGTGCGTGGAGTGGGTCACGTGTGAGTCAATTATGGTCTTTGTCCAGACGTGACAGAAGATATTTGGAAGGACCACTTGGGCAAGTGAGTATGTGACGGTCAGGTCCTTCAGAATTTTAGTCGTAGCAAAACTTTCTCCCTCCCAGACCATGTCCTCAGCAGATTCCAGGGCTAACACAGGCCGGCACATACTCGACACCTCGATGTGTGTGACAGGAAAGCCTTGGCTTCTCCCACACGGGGAGACACACCCCACACCCACCAGACACCTCACAGTTGTGGAATCAACATACGTGGCACGTGACACACACGTAACACACAAAATAAAATACACAACACATACACACTGCTCATAAAGACTCCTCACTGCCAGTTCCAACACGATTGTGGTCTTTTATGCTAAGACAGGTAATGGCATAGTAGTCAGGGGCCAGCATCCAGTCAGTGTCTCTGGGAGGGGAGTCCAACCAGAGAGCTCAGGTGTAGCAGAGGCATGAGAAGCCTTGGTCCCCAAGGACACAGAGGACAGAGGGGCTGGTCCAGGGCTTGACCCAGAGCCCCTCGCTCTCAGCCCAGGTCCCATCTAATGGAGAAGAAGGAACCCACCGTACAGGACTGGGGTGGCCTGCCAGTCAGTCCCTCCCTGGTCTGGCCCAGATGTCTGGGGACATGGGCAGGAATTACCACGCCACCAGGAAGTAAGCTCCTTCTTGAGAGAGAATGCAGGGGCTGGAGGGAAATGGATTTGGGGACATTAGTTTCGATATTGCTTCTTCCGATAAAAAGGCATTGGCTTAACCTTTCTCTCTTTTGTTTAATCACTTTCAGAGGCTCATTAGACTTCAGGAAGTTAACGTTCAAACTCAAACCACATGCTGCCATGAGAGAACAGAAGCTGCTGCCCGCCACCACCACAGTGAAAGGCACAGTACTCCAAGGTCACAGGGCAGGGTGGTCAGAGCCGTGTCTGGGACTTGGAGATGATGGCCAGGGCTGACTCGCACAGACCACTGTGCACCTGACACTATTACAGGGACACGTAGGCATCAGCTCACTGTGACTCACCCGGAGGTGGGTAGAGCCATGCTCCCCAAAGAGCAAAAACCTAGGCGCAGGGGTGTGAAGTGACCCATTTTGGATTCCAAGCAACAACACGGCAAAACCCAAAGCCAGACTTCCTGAGTTGGCAGCCCAGCTCTGGCCTAGACCTACTGTGTGGCTTCAGGCAAACGACCCAGCCTCGCTGAATCAGCTTCCTCATGTACAAAGTGAACACAGCAGGTGCACTTGCCCACTGGGCACTGGTGGACGATCAGGCAAACCATGGGCCCAGCGCGATGCTGAGAACCCAGCAAATGCCTGTGGATTTATGAAGCTGCTGGGCAAATGAGGCCCAACTGAGAGGTCACCCCTAAACAAGACCTTGTTTCTCGGAGCTGCTCAACTCCACTCTACTCGGGACGCCTTTGCTCCCCCTTGGTACTGTTGCTACTTTACGTAACCAACCCTTATGTAGAACTTCCTGTATGTTTGATGATGTTTAACAAACAAGAACTCCCTTTAATCTACCATCGTCCCCATCATAGATGACGAAACCTGGGCACGGAAGGCTGAGGACATTCCCAAGGTCACGCTGCTGGGCAGCGGTGAACCAGGGCTTGAATCCAGGCAGTCTGGCTGCCGAGCGTCGTTGCCATGGTACTGCCCCCCTGGTTCCCAGGGGTTCGTGCGCCTCCCACACTCAATGGTGGGCTCCTGGGGGTAGCACCTCAATGATTCATGCTGATTCCCCAGCTCCTCACACAGAGCCTGGCCCAGAATACTTGCAGAATGTATTTGTTCAACGAATGGATCAATGACCATAATTAATCAGTGGAGACTTTCACACTCTGCGAGGTGTTCAAATTTCACAGACAGACGACAAAATCAGACAGCATTTTCCCCGTATTCCTCTGTGCAAAAATTCTCACTGGCTGTTCCGTTTCTCCCTAATGCAGTCGTCAGACTGAAGGTCCCAGAATTTATTTCTACTCTTTCTCTGACTGTGTCGATCATTTCCTTTCTCTGGGGCAGGGAAGCAGGTCAGTTGTGGATGCTTCCACAGAGGAAGTATTTATGCTGGGCTTTAAAGAACGAGAAGGGTCGATTTACACATAAGGAAGCTCACGGTAGGTTTTCTTTTTCCCACCTGGAGAGAATGTTAAAGCTTGAAAGCAGAGGCAGTGCCTTAGGCATCTTTTCGTCTTCTTCTTATTCTCTGTGCCCAGCATACACTATTTATTCAATCCAATCTCAGTCATGCATCCATCATCCATCTACCCATTATCCATTAATCATCCATCCATCCATCCATCCTCCATTCATCCATCACCCATCTGTCCATCCATCACCCACCCACCCACCTGTCCATCTGTCCTTCATCCATCCATTCACAGAAGACTTACTGAGCACATACTTCACCCTGTGGTACCTCAGAGGCACACTGAGGCCACTGGATGGAGGCCTCAGAGACAAAATGTTATCTTACTATCAATAAGCAAGTATTCATGGTGCCCTATGGCCCAGTGTGGCAGTCAATGAATTTGTGGTCCCCGTAGTATGTAAGCCAAGATGGCCCATGGGCAATCGTTAGACGGGGCTCAGTGGTTCACAGGGAGCCGGAGGATGGAGCCCCTCCTTGGGGTCTTTCAGCTGATCCAGTGATCTCAGTGTTGGGACAGTCTCAACATACAATATCCCGAAACCTCACGACCCTAGTCACTCAAGACCCTGAAAAACAACTCCCTCTTTGAGAGAGACTAGCTTGGCCCAGAAATGGCCCTTCCGTCTGTTCAGGCCCCGTGTCCCCCACAGCTGCTCCTTCCTGGCCAGAGGCTGTGGCTCTGTCCCCCAGCACGGACAGTGTGTGCCTGGCTCACCACACACACAGCCCCCTTGTTCCGGGAATGCAGGCGGCTGCTTGGAGCGGCTGCTTGGAGCCACTGCTGGAAATGGCCTCCCAACAGATGTGCCTTTAATTTGTTTCCGGGTCAGCGGCCCCCATGCCCCGAGGAGGCCACCTCCCAGGCAGGAGGCCCAAAAATAGCCCTGTGTGCGCGTCCCTGGATGGGGTTATCCATCACTGCCCGGCCTCTGCCCCCGGATGCCTCACTCTGGTGACTGGCTCTAATCGGGCCACTTGATGTGGAGACGGGGAAGCTGGCTCTGTCCCCTCGGGTGATGGCCCCTCAAAGAGCCAATTGTAACCACATGGAAGTGAGGCCTTCTGCCCTGGGCCCAGGGTCGGTCAAAGATCTCCTGAACAGAGATTCTAGGGAGGAAGCAGGAAGGATTTGCAAAGTTCCTAGAGGAGGGCACGTGATCGGAGATCATTGCAGTGCCTATGCGTATCTACAACCAGTATGCATTTAGTGAGCACCTACTGCATGCCGCCCACTGTGCCATACCTTTATAGGCATCCACACCGATCCTAGTTCTCAAGGAAATCCTGCAAGGCAGGCCCTGTACTCCCACTGTACCAATGGGAAACTCAGCCTCGGAGGGCTTAGGTCTTCTCCCACCCAAATAGTAAATGAGGAACCCAGGTTAAGAACCATGGTTGGAAAACAGGGGCTCTCCCAGAACAACACTGCCATGCTGTCTAGGACGAGAGCATGCAACAGGCGTCTACCAAATGAGAATGCTTCCGCTATCAATCTGGTGGTCTATAAAATATGGAGAACTGTCTAATGGGGTTGTTTGAAGGTGTAAATCAGACAAGTATGCAAAGAGCCTAGCACAGTGCTTGGTGCTCAATTAGCAAACACTAGGTGCTCAATAAATAAATGAATCAATCGAAAACAGGCACTAGATGGTGTGCACAGGTAGCAGGGATTTGTGTTCTCCACCGTTCTCAAGCCAGCGCCCAGGTGGCCACGTTTGCATTACAGAGGTTTAGAGAAGGGCAGTGACTCGCTCTGCCACCAATCTGGAAGGCGGCTGAACTCAGGTCCCCACCGTGATGTGCACAGGAAATGCCAGCAGGTCTCCAGGCGGCCACAGGTATAGCTATGATGATGCCACCGACACCTCTCCACGGACACCTGGTGCAAGTGCACAGCGCTGGGGTCAACCGCAGGCTCCTTCCCCACCCTCTGGGTCCTTATAACCCAAGGGGCGGCCGTTGTCGGCCTCACTTCTCACGTATCCCAGCAAACCAGAAGATTCCACGTGTTCCCAACACCCCTGAGAGTTTGTGCTGACTGTCCGTTCGTTCCTCAAGCTGTTTTTTAGATTTGAGGCTCTTCTCCTCCCTTGATTCCCTGGTTCCTGCCCATCGACCACCCTGCTGCTCCTTCCCTGAAGGAAGGGTTCCCAGCACCTCGTCACCACCAGCGGTAGTCAGTCCAGTGCCCCCAGACCTGCCCCCTGTACTTCCAAGTGAATTACTACAGAGCCCATATTTGTAGGGTGTGGTCCTGCCAGCTGTAGCCCAAGGGCCAAATCAGAGCCACTGCCCATTGTGAATAAAGTTTTATTGGGACAGAGCCATGCTCACCTTTTACCTGTTCTCTGTGGATCTTTCTGTACAACGGTGCCCAAGACAAGCAGTTTCTTTGGGGATCGCACAGCCCTCAAGGCTAAGTTTACTGTTTCTTTACAGAAAGTTTGCTAACCCCTCCGCCCGTGTGATCAAAGGTCTGTTTCTGGGGCCGACACACCCGTCTCATTGGGAAGGAGGGGAGGGGAGGGATACATCGTGTTTTCTTTGGCTCCCCAGTGCCCAGTCCTGGGCTGGTCAAGGCAGAGTGTTCACTGAAGGGCTGAGAGCCGAAGGCAGCGGCGAGTCCGTCCATCTGCCGGTTGCTACAGTTCCCTCTCACAGGGCGGTGTGGACACCAGCCGCCTGTGACTCTGACAACCAGATTCCGGTTCTGTCCTGGGTGTTGTCAGAAGCCGAAGAGAACACTGGCAGGGGCCACTGGGAAGTCAGGGCCACTCGGTGCTTAAGGGCTGAGGTCGGAGCCGAGGAAGCCAGAACCCTCTGGTGAGGCAGGGGCAGCACAAATCAGCAGGAAATTCTGGGCTAGGAGGGAGGAGTGTTGGGCTCTGGTTTCAGGTGCCATCCCTGTTTGTCCTGCCTGCCTGTGACAGAAGAAGCTTTTCCTGCAGGAGAGGATCTAGGACTGAGGGGGGGGGAGGGGGGCACATCCTCCTGAGGCGATCCAGGCCCTCCGAAGCCAGCAGGGAACAGCTGAATGAGATTAGCAGCCCCAGGGTCCCCCCAGCCTGGCCACAGCCGGGCCAAGAACAGGCCTTCGGTCTCAGAGAGAGAGTGGCCTGGCAGGACAAACAGATATAAGCGCCCAGGAGCACGATCCGATGTGGACTTCGGGCCAGAGCAAGTATGATGCTGTCCCTGGTAGGAGGGTTTGCTCAGAGGTCAGCGTTGTGACCTCACAGTACATCCCCAGTCCCCTCGGTGGCGTTCTTGGCAAAGCACCATTGAGATCCTGCTTGCATACCTGCAGGGGCAGGGAGCTCACTTCTCCCTGAGGAAGCCCGTCTTGTGCCCAAGCCCTCTGAGCCCTGCAAAGCCTCCTTGGTGACAATCTGGAAACTTCTCTCCTGTAGCTTCAAGGCCGCTGCCTTACAGACACAGAATAAATACTTACACCATAGACGGCCCTTCAATTCTGAGGGCTGGGGACTGGCACGTGGTATTGCCCTTTGGGTGGTCCTTGTGGAGCAAGATCCAGGGCTTGGGGGACCGGATGCCAGCCAAGGCCACCTGAGAAGAGCCCGCGGGGAAGATGTGGTGGTTGCCAACCTGAGGGGAGAGTGGAGAATGAGTAGGGAAGTTGATGTCCAAAATCAACTTGAGGGCAGGAGGAGGCGGGGTGTTCGCCGCAGGTGGAGGTAGAGGTGTCAGAAGCACCTCTTTTCTGGGGAGTTTGGGCCACAGCATCCCCTTTCATGGCCCTGAACACATGGCCCTCCACAGAGTCATGCAAAGCCCGAGGACCAAGCACACTGATGCCTGAGTCTAGGTGGGGCCGCCGGTCCAGGAAGAGGGGACTCTGAGCCAGGTGTGAAAAGGGCCAGAGAGCTTCTGCAGACTCTGCCGCACCCCAGCCCTGGGTCCTGGGGCTGGTAGCACTGCTCTTCTGAATCTGTCTCCTCGCCCGTAAAATGGGAGCAGTAAAAACCACTTTCCTGTGTATGCTGTGCATGTTCAATGCTCAGACGCATGGCATGCGGTCCGTACAGTGCTCAACACTCAGAAGAGGTTGCAGCCTTTGAAAATATTTTTTGGCCCTGGTCGGGTGGCTTAGTTGGTTAGAATGTCATCTGGATACACCAGGTTGTGGGTTTGATCGCCATTCAGGGCACATATAAGAATCAACCGATGACCGCATGAGTAAGTGAAATAGTAAATCAATGGTTCTCCCTCTCCTTTCCTCTGTCTCTAAAATCAATCAATAAATAATTACAAATGTTTTTTGATGGGCAGGAAAATGAGGACAAGGTAGCTTTAGTTTCTAAGGCACCTATGGATGCTTGCCTTCAGTCCTTGCGGGAAATTTGTGCCCTGGTTGAGTCCCTGGGCTCAGCCAAAGGCCATTTTCGTCAACTGCTGGGATGCCGGCTTGATCTCCTTCAGTGTCCGTCGGTCCCCAATTGGCCCAAACCGGAGGACTTCTTGGGCTCCATCTCATTTAATTTAATTCTCGCCTCAACTCGCAAGTTGTAGTCCCGTTCCTTTTGTACAGATGAAGGAGCTGAGGCTCAGAGGGTCAGAGAGGCTGGGGGACGTGTCCAAGTTCAGCCCACTCTGGAGTGAGGGACACAGGGAGTCTGCCCTTCCAGACAGGCCAGGAGGCTTTGGGAGCAGGTGGGTATGAGCTGGGCAGTCTCCCCTGTCCCTGACTCCACACTGGCTCTCTCCCCTCCCCCTTGGCGAGGGGCCACATGCAGGGTCCTCCTGGCAGAGCCCCTTACCTGATCGGAACCCCTGCAAGGGCTGGTGTCACCCCAGCCCCCTGGGCGGGCTCGCCCCTCC